AATAGCTATTCAACATTTAACACGAAGAAAAAACCAACTATGAAGAAGGGAAGAATGAATAGAGTGAATTCAAATTGAACGGACGGCATGGCTCAGCCTTGCAGGTGTGGCCAACCTAATGTTGTAACATAATCTTTTATTCATATTAAATATATGTTCTATCTCTCTAGTCTAAGTTTGTTCTCCATGGTACTGTTACGATGCAATGAGTTGGTGTAGACAATGATGTGACTTTCATGTAATATCTTCTAGATTAGGCAGATACATCATTACAAATTCACGATTTTACAATCAGGTCTATTATTGAAGCAGTACCAGTGTCATAGTGGATCATAATTCTACAGACTATCCTGCTAATTCATATGAACGAAGTGATGGTAAGTGAAATGGCGATGAGTTGACATTGAGCAGTAATCCCATGTTGAAATTCCCTGGAATAGTATGATAGTTACAATTAAGGAATGATATCAGTTATATTTTTGTATTTTCACATAACATGCATAACGTATTGTAATGAATCGACGATAAGTAAGTACAATGTCTATGTAATAATGGAATACGGACAAAATGTCCATCACATCGATCATCCTCATTGACTGCAGTAGAATCTTCATTTGCCAAAAAAAGTGTGTTCGTATTCTGAATAAAACAAAAAATATATATATCAATATTATAAACATTTCAATAGTTGAGATCATATGTCAATTGAATACCGTTTAGAACATCATGGAAAACTTGAAAACACTAGACGGTGGTCTACTCACTTGGTTTCGCTTGCAGAATTATCTTTCGACTCTCCACTAAATGGAATATGAAAGTAGACATGATGTAGATCATGATATACAACTTGAATAATCTAATGAATCGTAGTTTAGTTAAATCAGTATACTGAACCATTTTCGATGGTATTTGTTATGTTATCAAATTCTATACTACCAATGTTTGTATGGAATATTTATATGCTCAGTGATTATGCCTAATGACGAATCACAAAAAAGATAGTGAATTGAGGACACATAAAAAGTGTACATATGTACTAATGTACATGAAACTAAACAATGTTCTCACTTTCAACTAAACTTTCATTCTTCTTAGAAACTAATGTTATACTAGTAGGAATATTATCATTTATAATAGTACATGTACTTTAATAAGCAATACACATTCATATTGTTAGACTTTAAGGACATGAGAAAGATCATGTTTATTTGGTTTCATCTAACTAAGTTGTGAATAGAACATGTGAAATATGATAAATACATGTGTATATTGTGTAAGATCTCGCTTTCCCATCAAGTGTTTATCGTGAATTAGCATACACAAACGGAAAACCAAGGTCCTCAAATTCAAAACGGAGAATAGCAATCCAATCACTCTTGATGACGAAACTTTGGAAGATGTCGAATCCTTCACATACCTGGGAAGCATCATCGATGAACAAGGAGGTTCACATGCAGACGTAAAGGCTAGGATTGAAAAAGCAATAACAGCATTCCTACAATTGAAGAACATATGGAACTGAAAACAACTTTCAATCAATATCAAAGTGAGAATCTTCAATACAAACGTCAAGGCAGTTCTACTGTAAGTACGGAGCTGAAACGTGGAGAACTACAACAACCACCATCAAGAAAGTACAAGTATTTATAAATAGCTGTCTACGCAAGATACCCAACATCCATTGGCCGTATACCATCAGCAATAGCCTTCTGTGGGAGAGAACAAACAAACTTCCAGCTGAAGAAGAAATTAAGAAAAGATGATGGGAATGCATAGAACATACATTAAACAAATCATCAATCTGCATCACGAGGCAAGCCCTAGTTCGGAATACTGAAGGGAAACGGAAAAGAGGAAGACCAAAGAATACAGTACATCGGGAAATAGAAGCAGATATGAAAAGGATGAATAACAAATGGAAAGAGCTGGAAAGGATCGCTCAGGACAGAGTTGGATGGAGAATGCTGGTGAGCGGCCTATGCTCCTTCACGAGGAGTAACAGGCGTAAGTAAGTAAGTAAGTAAGTAAGTTTATCGTGAATTGTTTATGAACACACTGGTATGATTTCAATATTTCTCATTAAGATCTGTCCTAATTTGAAATGCACTTCTAGCTGAAGTTGTCTTATATTGTTTGATTTTGCAGCTGATTATATTACCATGGACAGAGTGAATGCTGATAATTACACACCTATTATTATCACTCTATTTATTTCACTGATCATGGACAGGAAATTGAAAAGTATACAAGGTGATTGATAGACTAATTCAATTACTTTACTCCTTATTGTCACTATAGACGTTGTTACAAACCGGTCTTTTAGCAATAGTTCACATTTGAATGTATAAAAATGCCTCTCAAACATCGCGCTAGTGATACAGTAGGTTGGAAGGACCTACGT